ATAAAGGTATAAGTCATCTACAAAGGTAACGCTCATTTTAAATGCGTTTCATGTCAGTGCAAACAAGTTAATCAAAGACACCGGTCTGACTTCACTATTGGCAGGCAAATAAAGATGAATTAATGCGGCAAAGGTGCCAGTTTCAGTGTTTCGAAAATAGAGGGACCACAAGACAAAGTATTCATTTCAGAGCATACTACAGACGCATCTTTTTAGTTGTCGTACAGAGGCATGGCAAATTGATGATGTATGGTTCAGGGTAGATTAAGAGGACATTAACTTTTCCACATTCTGGCCATAAAATGAGCTCATGGAGGAAGTTCAGCACATTTCAAACACCAGCCACTTTCACATTTCTGCGTACCAAGCCAGTCATCTGTCTGTGAAGTGAAGCTGATTAACTCTGCACTCAAAACACCAAAAATGGTGTTGAGGTCATGAAGGAAGGTGGCAGATTAAATTAGAAATGCTTTACAAGCAGACTCTCAAAATGTTAAGAGTTATTAACTTCACGGGCAAAAATCTCTGTGGGGTGCTGTCGTTTAAAAAAAGAAACTCCAGCCTTATTTATTTTTTCTTAAATTTTTTATGTTCCTCTGACATTTTTAAAACCCAGTAGTCAGACACTAGTAATAATAGTCATTTCCAGTATGAAATTTCCAGTGCAAAATCTACACCAACACTTTTGACCTACTCAATAGAAATAAGTTGTAATTTCCACAAATTTGCTGTCTGAATTAATGTAAGATTAATGGCAAGCAAACACTTATTTCTATTGTATTTCTACTTTATGACCTATGAAGACCAGTCAATGAACAATGACTCGAATGAACTTATTCCGTTTAGTGAATAAACCAGTGAAGGCGATTCACATTCAAATGAGCCAATCCATGAAAACGTTTTCATATAGACATAATGGGTGGATGGATGGATAGATGGATAGATTTGAAGGACTTATCTTAGTCGTCTGAGGTATAAAGCGGTGATAAATTATACTTTCTCATTCTTTCTCATTTTTCTAACATTAACTGCAGAAGTGCATCCAAGAATGCCAGTGAGTTTTCTGCCAGTGGCCATAAAAAAGGGCGATATAAATCAGAGGAGGTAATGCAGGCTTTATTCTCAAAGGAGTGAACAGAATGCGGCGTGCTCACCCCAGCTCTTCATGAACTAGACCTAGTGTAAGAGCCCCTGTGGAGTGGACCGGGTGGGATGTCTTTTCCAGATGCATTTTCTGTGTCCCGACTACAGCCTACATGTCCAAAGTGAACCGCAGAAGTTGTTGAGCCAGGAAGCTTCCCCTGCACTCAACCTGAAACATATGCACGTATATGCAGCATGTGGCCCCAATCAATGAAGTGCCCCAAAAAGTACAACTGAAAACATAGCGGCTAAATCACCCGCTAGCTAGCATCCTGCCTGCGGGGCACATGGCGTCAGAGTGCTTGTGCGTCACAAACCAAGATCAGCTGTCAGATTGGTCTAGATCTTAATTCCAGCACTATTGCAACATAAGCCTGGGAACTGGTCAACAGCCCAGGGATGGAAAAAAAAACATAACAGAAGGCACAAACACAAATGCCAACCATTGAGACAGAATGTTGACTTTGGATGGAGAGCTCTGCATGTGTTCACTTCCTGTCTCAGAGGCTATACCAGCGAATTATATGAGCAGTCTGTGCCACGTAAGAGACAAATGATAGACTAAAGACAAGGTTAGGTGATCTCGTTTGATTTATGAAGTAACCTAATGCTGGATTTTCAGAAAGTTCTTGTTTTCAACAAATAGGACATTTAATCCCTATGTGCGCACTGACATTTCATCTGTCTTTCTTTTCAGCCAGCAACTGGAAGAAAAGGGCCTTTCTGTGAAGCACTAAAACCAAGTTGGAATGCTTTGAAGCATTTATGCTTTTCTGCTGTTCCTTTATGCGCACAGGTGTAGATCAACAGAAGTGTCGAGAAAGCCACCGATTAATCTTCATTCTGTGTCCTCCTTTTGACGTAAGAAATGTCACTGGTTTTTACGAGGTCTGAAAAATATGATTAAGGCACAAGTGAGTAATGGAAATAACCTGGATAACATGGTGAAAATGGCTTTAAACAGTAGGTGATAACCTAATGGTAGCCTCATAAAACAATTCAAAACGCATAAAAAACAACTTCCTCTGCATTTAAAGTAGCTAAACATGGAAATCACAAGCGTTTAAAGTAACACTTACCACAGCAGGCGGAGGAGTACAGTAGACAGAGGAACATCAAAGGTCTGTGGGCCATGAAACAGGAACGATAAATTATACCCAGGTGTAAAGTTGACAGTGTTCTAGACACACTTTGAAAAACTATAACTCTACAGATGTGGCATTGTAAACATATATTTTTTTCACTCACAGTAGAGGAACGCAAATATACGTGCTAAGGTGAGGGACAGAGTTTGTTATGCTTTCAAAAACATGGTAGGGAGAATAACCAGATCAGGATTTAGACACTTTTTAGACACATTTTCCCCCCAGTTTTTGGAGTCACAGCACCCTCTAGTGGCCATTAAAAGGAGCAAGAACATTGTGGGAAAGACCCACAGTTGGTCATCCAATAATCTGAATATGGCCTTCTGAAGGTGTATGAGGATCATATACACTAGACGTCACGTTGGGGTCCTAGGCATGCGTCAAAACCGCCGCCATCTCGGAACAGGGGTCTTGTCATAGGAAGTAGCTAGGTAATGCTGCTAGATTTATGGTGGTTTTATTTTATTTTATATGGTGGTTTTATGGTGGAATGTGTTCCATTGTTTAAAAACAACTACCCTGCAACGTTCTGGGAACGTTGGTTGCAAATGGTTGCAAAATAATAGCCTAAAAATAGCCATAATCGAACGTTCTAGGCCTTCCAAGTTATTTTTTGGTTATTTAAAAATTACCTTCCTGCAACGTTCTGGGAACGTTATTTTATGAATGAATATCTGGTGATTATTTTCACAAGAATAACATAGTTTGATATTAATTGTCAGTTATTGTCAATAATTGTAGTAGATTAGTTTTAACATATCACAGAAAATGACATTGATCAGAGTGCCTGTGTGAAAGCAACAACCTTGACTACTGGCTCTCTGGTCTGGCCTGAGGTCTCACATTTCACTCGATCATCCAGAAATAACCCAAAGGAGCAGAACAGAATATAAAAAGGAAGCTCTCAGTTTGACTTCTGTTCAATACCAAGAATGAAGTGTAGTCATCCAATGATGTAGCAATACTGCAGAATGGCAAGCGTAGGAATACTGCTGCCACGTCAAGCTGTCCAGCCACTCACGAAAACAGGCACTAAAATCATCACAAGAGCATTGTTTGAGAGAGAGTTTGTGATTGGCTTAATTCCTTTCATTGTAGCCTATACTTTTCCCTTATTGTTTTACAGTGTCATATGATAAACTTGTCAACGTGAGCAGTCTGATGATTTCAGATGTAGGCCTTTTAGTTGAATGTGCACAGACCGGTTTATTGAGATATGAATCTCCTGATGTGTAATGCTGCCACGCAAGGTGGAGTCCTGTTTTTAAATGAAGAAATGTTTCAAAGAGTTCACAAAAAAAGAAAAGAAAATTCTATCATCATGTCATTCCAACCTTGCATAGCTTCTTCTGGAACAAAGAAGTGGAATTTTTTACGTGAATGAGGACAGAGGCTGTCGAACTCCACGGAAAAAAGCAATATAAAATGTTTGTAAAGAAGGTTCATACAGCTTCTGTGCTATACATTTTATGTGCTTAAGTGCTAAAAAGAACTAAAATAGCTTTTTGTGATGAAAACACCTAAAATAAGTCATTATTCAATGACAGACATTCATCCTCTGGTCATGTTTGTGATTGAATTGTTCTTTTGTGTCAGATATTCAAGAGACATGAAAAAGTTCAGTTGATGGGCGGGCCACTTTTACTATCATAACGCTTTCATAGTCCGGCTTAATTTACATTCATTGATCAGATGATCGACTGAAAAGGTCACTGAACTGAACAGACATTCCACCTCATAACTGCCCTTCACAGAAACCAGACAAGAATCTTGGCTTTACAGAACCATTGGTAGCCTACAAAAGCCTTTCAATGGGCTATAGAAACACGTGGAGACATACGAAGGTCCAGCAACACCTTTGTTTGAAGTCACTTTTCAAAACTTTGGTCAAGGTTAGTCCATCCAATCACCACCTGGCCAAACCTGTTCTACCAGGTAGGCCCGCCTTACAGAAACTGTAGGCTAAATGATGCCCCTATTAGCATGTCTTTGAGCAGATGCGGACTCAAACCGGACTTTCAATTATCTATAATTAAACAGCTTAACTGTCTCTCACTCTTATAAATTCCAAAAACTGTTAGTGTAGCTGGACGTAGGTCATTTCTGTATAAAGCCCCTTCTGACTGGAATAATCTTCCTGTTTCTTTGAGATCTATTACTTCTTTCAATCGTTTTAGGTTATGCCTATTCTCTTATCTTAAAATAACCTGTTTATGTTTTTGATTTTTTTATTTATTTTTCCTTGGTTGAGATTCACTTAAGGATATTTTGCTGTTACGTGGCTCTATGTTGATGATTTATGATGATGAGATTCTGTAATGAAACTACTAACTACTGAAACTATGTTGGGTGTAGAAGCCCACAAGAGTGTGAGAAGCAGGTTGAGGTTTTTTTTTTTTTTTTTTTTTTTTTTGTAGTCTTGTTTTGTCTTATGTTGTCTGTGTTGTAAATTACTTATGTAATACAAAGGCAAATTCCTCAGGTTTACCTTACTGGGTGCGCCCAGCCTTGATAAATGTGATGAATAATGCGCAAGGTGACACGCGGATGAACAAGACGTCATGAGCCTGACGTAAATCTACTACGGCAAAGGCCATCTTATGAATATTAATCAGGTAACGCTGACGCCCGTTGCAACCGTCTAATGGCGAAGACTTATCTATAAATATTAATTAAGTGATGCTGACGTTGCGTTGTTACCTTCATGGACAGTTACCTTCTACGGGCGAATTTTAGATTCATGAATATTAACAAAAACCCTTCGCCATAGTACGATTAGTAAACGCGGCTACTGATCGTCCGTCACATCAGCTCCGCGACACCGGCAAGATACAAACAGGAAATTATAGCTCAAAGACAGCTGTAAGAGTTTATTTCTTTGTATGAAACTAGTGTAGGCCTATTTCTGTTGTTGGACTGGACTAAGTTACCTGTTTTAATTATCTCATCTATTTTGCCGCGAGGACAATGCTTCAGTGTTTATCGGGAGGTTCGTGTGTGCGTGTCATAGAAGGTTACAAGTCTACGTGGTATTTTGTGGTGTTGGTGCTGGCGTATGTGGTGTATCTGATATTGGGGGCTTTAGTGTTTTCCGCGGTTGAACTGCCGTATGAAGAAAAGCTTCGACAGGAGCTTCGGGCCGTGAAGCAGCAGTTTCTAGATGACAATGAATGTCTGTCCGATGAAAGACTTGAGGAGTTTCTGGCTAAAGCGTTGGAGGCGAGTAATTACGGTGTGTCGGTTCTCAATAATGCCTCCATTAGCTGGAACTGGGATTTCACATCTGCACTCTTCTTTGCCAGCACTGTGCTTTCCACGACAGGTGAGCTAGACATTCTCTTGACAACATAGGATTTGTGTGTTTGTGTATCTTAACACAGTTGATTTACATGAGAGACTTCTGATAATCTGAGTTCATTCTTTACTATTATTCACATTGACAGAAAAGAGGCCAGTGATGTCATTTCATAAGGTCGACCAGTCCTCTCTGATCTGCGATAAAAGCATTATAACTTACGCCTGTGTTGTCTGACAAGATTGTATGGTCTTGTTAAACAGCCCAACATTTACAATAATATTTTTTATAAATACTAAAATATGCATGCATTGCATGTATCTAGAAAAGAGATATCCCGGTATGGGTTCCCTCCCTCCATAAATAGTCAAAAGTCAACAAAGCTTTATGGGCCTGGCCATGATTGTTAACATTTGCTATATTAATTTGGTAGTTGCCAACGCATAATAAGACAATTATCTCTCACTTTTTTTTTTTTTTTTTTTGCTTACTAAACTAGTTGGCAAAAGTTTTACACAGAAATAAACACGTTGCAAAAGATAATTAAGTTCAATTAATAACATGAGATAAAAACATAATTGTTGTAGAAAAAAAAAACATGGTTGTTATTTCACTCTTTCTAATGGGCTTTATCATTTCAAATGACCTGAAGTGTCATGCAATTGGCAATTGATTGAGTTACTATTAACAGTACCTTAAACATCAGGGCTGCTCAAGATGCTTTATTAAACATTAGTATAAAAGTAGCAATAAATAGAAAAACTAATACTTTATTTGGGACCACTTTTGAACCCTTCTGTGGTAAATGACCATCCTCACAGGTCAATTTGTAGAGATTTTATTGTATTTATTAGGATGCTCTTACATACAGCAAGTGCAAACTCATATATTTGCAGTCCCTGTGGAGCCCTAGTGGTTTTGTAATTTAATGTGGATGATCTGTGGGCAATTTGAAGGTTGTCTGAAGGATAAGCATGCAGTGTGTGTAGTGTTTCCAAGGATTATGTAAGTTAATCCTGCAGTATTTAAGTACTACAAAAGGAAACAGCCTTGACATTCCTGGTGACTTTTCTTTATGTCATTAAGATGATGTTTAATACACAAATTAATTGGTTCAATTGTGTAAAATGCTAAATTGTCTTAATGTACAAAATATCTTTTCAAAGAGCTTCATGTTTTCTTTCCAGGATATGGCCACACCGTTCCTCTGTCGGATGGGGGTAAGGCCTTCTGCATCATTTACTCAGTGGTGGGAATCCCATTTACCCTACTGTTCCTGACTGCGGTGGTCCAGAGGATCATGGAGTTCAGTACCCGCAGGCCTGTGGAGCACCTGCACCGGCGATGGGGCATGTCCAAATCTCTGCTGGCCAGCCTGCACGCTGCCCTTCTGGCCATTATTACAGTCTCCTGCTTCTTCCTTATACCTGCCATCATCTTCTCAGTACTGGAAGAGGAGTGGAATTTCCTAGAGTCCTTCTATTTCTGCTTCATCTCTCTTAGTACTATTGGCTTGGGTGATTATGTGCCAGGAGAGGGCTACCACCAGAGGTTCAGAGAACTCTATAAATTGGGCATTACCTGTAAGTGCATAGTCTTTTGAATCCTTATTGATGTACAGAGACATATATTGTGCATTTCATTTGGATTTTACTTTCTTACATTGACACATGCACTACCGTTCAAAAGATTGGGATCAGGAATGTTTTCTTAAAAGTCTCTTATGTTCACCAAGGCTGCATTTATTTGATCAAAAATACAGTAAAACAGTAATATTGGGAAAAATTATTACATTTAAAATGATTCTTTTAATATATTTCAAAATGCAATTTATTCCTGGGATGGCTAAGCTGAATTTTAAGAATCATTACTCCAGTATTTAGTGTCACACGATCCTTCAGAAATCATTGTGAAATGTTTTTTTTTATTATCAATGTTGAAAGCAATAGAATATTTTTGTAGCAATGTAGAAGTATTTACTGTCACTTTAGATCAATTTAATGTTTTCTTGCTGAATAAAAGTATTAATTTCTTTCCATAAACAATATCATACTTACCTGTAACATTTGGATGGAAGTTTATGTGGTAGGGACAATGAAACATTTATCAGAACTTTAACTTTGGACTTTATCTTATTTGCTAAAGAGATATATCAAGGGTCATTATACATCTCTCTTTAACACAATCTGTCTTTCTCCTATACAGTCTATCTGATATTGGGCTTGATCGCGATGTTGGTGGTTCTGGAAACCTTCTGTGAACTTCCGCAGCTGAAGAAGCTCAGGAAGGTCTTCTACCTAAAGAAACAAAAAACAGAGGACCAGCTTAACATCGTGGATCACGATCACCTCTCCTTTGCTTCTGTGTCTGACCCGGCATCCTCATTTAGAGAGGATAAGACTGATCTGTTTCCTGATGACATTGTCTCCACCTCTCCTACTCCTACTTCTAATGGACCAATGGACCAATGAGGCATCCGACATGTCAATGTTTCTGAAGCACCTCCATTAAGAGCATAAATGTATTGTTAGTGTTCTCTGCTGTTAAGTTGGCTAAAACGTACCATAGATATGAATACTTGAAACACCTACTAAAGGTAAGTTACAGTGCTGTGGAAAAGGATTGTATGTATGAATTTGTAGAATAGTTCATAATATCATAATATCAGATATTCTTCATGCAGCTACTGAACTGAAAAATGTGTGTGACCAAGGTGCGCACGCGCATGTGTGTGTGTGTGTGTGTGTGTGTGACGGATAACTCAGTTCATTAAATCTGAAAATAAATAGTTAACTGGTAAGTGGTCATAGACTAGCTGTACGTATTCCGGTTCTTGTTAGGTAACTGAAAAGGGATATAGTCCATATCTTGTATTATAGGTTTACAGATGTAATAATGTAATCATGTTTTCTGGCTATTCTAATTTGAAGAATTTCTTTAGACTGGAATATAGCACACATCTTTTGTACACATTCTTGCCCTGATTGCAGTCTGAACAAGTCAGTGCCACACTCTTAAAAATAAAGGTTTTCTATTGGCATTGATAGTTCCACGAAGAACCTTTAACATTGCACAAAAGTTTATATGGTGGGAAAAGGTTCTCTAGATTTTTAAAATGCCACTAAGAAAAATGGTTCTTTTATGAAATGACCATTAAAAGGTTCTTTAGGGAACCATAAATGCATTAACATTTTTTTTTCAAAGCCATACCATTTTCAGGCGGTTTTCAGGACAGATTTAGCAGAAAATCACGTAGTGTAATACAGTCACAGACTTAACTTATGATTCCATTCAAGCATTCCGTCAAACATGTTATCAAACCATTGTTTTCATTTGGCAGCAATAATGTGCACTAATTTTGTTGTGTTCATAACTTGAAAGTCTGGTAGTGTTTGATCCTCAGTCATTTAGTGTAAAGGTTGTGTAGTGTATTCCTGCCTGAAGCCTATTCAGAGTCTGCAAGTGTATGCCTAGTGTTTTGTTTTTTTTTCTCAAAAGATTTTTAGACAGGGGCAGGTCCCTGGTGACTTTTTTTTTTTTAGACATTCCATAATGCTTAAAGGGAATTTCAAATATATATTTTAGTAGAGGCACAAGACAATCAAAAAGCTGTATAATTAATTTATCTACTGAAGGGATTATTGTGTTTTTTGCCTTAAGTGATGTTGGCTCCTCTGAAGCAGTTCTGTTTGTTGCAGTAGGCATTGTCCACCTCCTAAGGGTGCTGTAGTGCCATTGGTGTTGTATTTTAAGCAAAAAACAGAAGTCACATCAGTGCATCAAAATGCTCTTCTGAGTGACTGGGTATAATGCTGAAACAAATAAATCTAATTTTATTATTAATTGACAGTTTTCAGGTTTTTTTTAATTTTATTTCACATGCCTTAAAAAGTTGTGCATTTAATGTATGCTTCAAGTCGCACTTTATCAAACCAGAATAAACTGGTAACAGATCATGTGATTGTATTGTGTCCATTCTTCAGCAAATAGCAAGATGCTGTACAGTACATACACAACAGAACTTGCAGGACACATATTAAAAATAATCTCCTGGACCTCTCATTTTGTGTGTTAAAACCTTGCTGAGTGGGGGTGCTTTGTGGACCCGAGCAGCTGTAAGGTCTGTTAACAGTCTATCAGGATGCCTGCCCCATGCTGTTAAAAGAGATATTTACTCTGCTGTTTGAAAGTGAATTTGATGCCATCCTGTAATTGCGGTGCTGAAATTGAGCCGAGGTCATGTTAACAAGGCCCCGCAGCTGCGCTCACCTTGTTAAACTTAACAAGGACATATTTCAATAAGTTGTCTTCTGCTTAAAGCATGTGAAACTAGTGCCCTTCTTGAGTTCCCATAGACATTCACCTGAATGTTGCACTCATCACAGCATAAGATATTGTTGAGAATGGTGAGTTTGACAATGTATTTTGCTTGTATAGGTGATATTGGAGTTTATATCTCAGGGGGTTCTCCAAAGGTAAGTATCATGGGACTTCTTATCATGGGAAAACTGTGTGTGTGTATATCTATATATATATATATATATATACTGTAAAAAATCCAACTTAAATTTTGTTTAACAAATTCTGTTTTTAAAGTTTATTCAACTATTTAACATGAAAAAGTTTGTACAACTAATCACCCTAAGTTACTCAATAATGTCCTGCAGCTGGTTGCCTTAAACAAGCTTTCTTTTTATAACTTTTTTTTTATAGTGTATGTATATATGGTATTCAGAATGATTTCTTGTTAGTATCTGTTGTTTTGTTTTTGTTTATTCACTATTACCATTCAAATGACAATATTATTTTTCCCCCATACCTCAGAGCTCAGTAATGCTTCATTTACTATACTGACTTAAAGGCGCTATACGCAACTTTTCTTCTAAAATGAATCCTTTTTTATTGCCTGTGTGTGAAGGGGTTGTAATCACACATTACAATGATCCACTTGTCGGGTTTTGCTATTACCTCTGAAGGCTGGCCAATTTCTGAAGGCTGGCCAATTTCTCTGTCTTTGAGTCGTATTTTCCTGCGAAATCCATCGGATCAGATAGAAGAATAGTTAGTGAAATGCCTTATGTTAGATAACACCACAAACGTTCTCATGGTACGAGCATAACGTTCTCATGGTACGAGCATGGAGCATTAGTTCAACGTCAAGCTGATAGTAGTGTATTATTGTACCATTGCAGTGGGAGTTTACATGAGTTTCCAACATGTTGTGTGATGCTTTCTCCGGTGTTTTAAAAGTCTCAGTGTGGCCGTGTACCATGAGTGCTCGCTCTTGTGTTCAAAAAAAAAAATTGGTTGCAGTCTGAAACATCACCGATAGAGGCCGCTAAAAAATACATATAGCACCTTTAATATGTATTATTTCTTCTAAAATTCTTAAGGAGAAAAAATAGGCACAATAGTCATTTGTTGACAAACAGTAAAAGTATCTCAATATTAATGTGAATAATTTATTATGGCAAATAATTAAATAAAATGTACATTTAACTTATGGAATTGCTGAATATAACCCCATGAATTACAATAAATATTAAATTAAAAATAATAACACTAGTAACAACATGCAACTCTCCGGGCCTTCTGCACCAAATCATGGGGGAACCATCTTACCCCAAGAGTTTAATTTTATCTTCACTTCGGAAAAAAAAAACATCTCGCCTCAGGTGGCATCCCTTCTGTTCTCCTTGAAGAGGACAACCTATTGGATACTGCAGTTGTTATTTATTTATAAATGTCTCCTTTCAACTTTGCCTTTGGTTTGTCCTTGATAAATGTGAATGATCTCCACCAGCGCTTTGATAGTTCTCTCCCATGGCTTGTGTTTACTCAAGCCATTCTACTTCATTAGATGTGGTCTCGCTACAGTGTGTGCCAAGTTTAATCTGTAGTTAAGCATATGCAGTGGCTTCTCTCCACGGCGTTCTCCAACGGAAGGTGTCTGGAGGGTATCGATGGCGCTGTCAGAAGTTTTTGCTTAGCTAAGCACAGGTCTGACTGAGGAGGTGGAGACGGATCTTCCGATCGATAGGTGCCAACAATTAACTCCCCTTCACACACACACACACAAACACACCGTGGCTCACACCCCCACTGCTAGCCATCTTTCAAAACCTGGCTGTGGACTGTGAAGCTGCCACACTGCAGGGAAAAGATCCCCACACATGATGTGCCAGCACAATGCAGAAAGTGGAGCAAACTTCAGCAACCTGTGTGCAATTATGTTCTCAAAAAGGCAGGTAAAACTTTTACATTTGATTAAGTGCTGGAAAGCGAATCTGAGTTTTAATGACCAAATGGCATTATGATGATTTTAAGGTGTTTTTTAAGACTGCTTTGATAACCAGCATAGATCTTGTAATCCTCAAACTACTGTCTTAAAGTCTTGCTTTTCTTTCCTCTGCTATTTAATTTAGAAATCTGGCTTTAACATTTTTAAAACAAATTCACAGGTTTTTGTTGCAATTTTGTTCATGTGAAATATAAAATTGGTTATTTGTCTTTGTTAAACTTGCAGAAATAACTGGTAACACTTTACAATAAGTTGTCAATGGTTAACATTAATTATATTTTTTAACATGAGCAGTGAACAATACTTCTACAGCATTTATTAATCTTAGTCAATGATATTATGGTTTCAACATTTACTAATGTGTTTTTAAAATCAAAAGTTGTTTTGGCACTCTGAACTGTAAACAATTAGATTTGAACTGTTTACAAAGATGAATTATTTAAAAATGATATACTCATAGCATTATGGTTAGTTAGATAATGTATCAACTATAGCAGATGAGACTTTATTGTAAAGTGCTACAACAACAGCAATAATTAGCCTATGCCATAAATTAGTGAAAAAGTAAATGTGGAACTTTGATAATGAACTAACATGTAATGTATATGTGAAAACTAACATGTTTCCTAAGGTCTGCATCATTTTTTATAGATGTGAAAGATTGAACTTTGCATCAAACTTTACCATGCAACTCCACAAATTCCACAATGACTGAGTTCTTAAATTGTGTGGCTTGATAATGAGATATTGCTGTTATATGCACATTTCTTTAAGTTTAAGATTTTTATTTGGAGGACAATAAAATGCAGGTCAAAAAAATCTCATAGATTTACTCTGAATGTGTTTGTAACGCACAAAACAAAATAACCAGTCAGAATGCATTACACCCTGGTGTTATTGAGTTTTGCATGGTCAGGACACTTACATATCTTCTGGAATGTAAAATGCATATTATGAGCATGTATGTTATGTGCATGGGATCAGTCTAAACTTTATCTGGGGGAAAAAAAACCGACAACAAAAAAACAGGCTTTGTCTGCAATGTTGTCTTCATGGGTAGCTTACCAACCTCCAAGATCCTCTTCCTTCCTCATCTCGGCCAGTTTCCTTCTTTCCCCCTGCCATGCACAGCATCTCTGCTGTGCCAGGCAGATGGGCTGCGCTGGGCTGCTGTGTTTGCTGCAATGTAGCTGTTCACCTATTAGAAAATACACTGCTTCAGCTAAATTTAACGTGCATCACATGTGCAACACAACAAGGATGTGGAAATTATTGTGTACAAAGCAGCGGTGGACAGTAACAAAGTACATTTACATTTACTTTGAGTATACACTTTACTTTGAGTACGTACACTACAGTATCTGTTCTTTATTTGTATATTTTTTCCTGGAAATCATTTATTTTTTGAAAGACAAAAATTGTCCTTTTTACTCCACTACTTCTTTTGTTGGGGTGGTAGGAGTGTTAAATTAAAAAAAAAGATGATTATGGCTGTTGTTCAGTCGTTTAATTTCTAGGTTTTAAAATATTCTAACATTCAGGTTGCTTCAGAGGCATAAGGTATACTGTCTTACATACAACAATGCCACAATAATAAAACAATGCGTTAACATTTACTTTTTACTTTTGATATAAGTACTTTTAAAAGCAAGTACTTCTGTACTTTCACTCAAGGAAGTACTTTGTCCACCTCTGGTCTCAGACCTATAGAGACAGACAGACAGCAGTTATAAGGTTTTTGCAAATAATGCATTAGCCTATATAGGCTATTTGTGTGTACAGTAAATAATACTATGCATACTTCTAAATTCTATGAAAGTAGCCTTGAGCCATTTTATTATAAAATAAAATTCCACCACCGAATGCTTGTGATTTAAATAAAATAAAATAAAATAAAAATTTTCCTATGATTTGTGCACATGCACTATTAGACATTGTTTGTGACCAAATTAAATGAATTATAGTAGCCTACAATTACATTTTTATAGTCTGAAAAGTGTGTTTTAAGATGTTGTATTGGTGGTTCGCATGGGTAAAATCGTCCATAGAAGATGAAGCATCCATTGCTTGGATTGGAAGCTCATCATTTACTGGGTATCAGAATTTGTGTCCGCGCAGGCGCACTGCGTTCACAGGTGGTCGTGTCTTCACACGGCAGAGAAGCTCCAGCCCAACGCATTTCATTTTGAACAGTCACGATTACTAAAGGCTTGATTCATTAAATACTTCTTAAAATGGGATAACCAGAGTGCCGAAAGAAACAGAACTTCTCAGTGTCAGAGTGAGTTGAACATTTCTTGGCTAATAAATATGAGAGGCTTCAAAATGAACGCGTGCGCACGAACTGCTTATTGAATTTAAATGCATAACGTTAGTCCTTTAAATGCATTCGTCTAGCTTGCAGTGATAACTATAGGCTACCATAAACAAGTTTACACTATTGTCTGTTTAAGACAGTGGTTCAGCGCAACTGCAAGTTCTGACTCTGGCAGTTTTGTAGTTTCATCGATTGACAGCATTTTGTCGTATTGCGTTTGTGTCGTGCCTCTAATTCGCAGTGTTGGCGTTGTGTACATGCAGGTTGTTTCTTCTAAGCTCTATATTTCCGCTGAGATCCACCGTGTTCTTCTGATGTCTCTTCTTTAACTTCAGGGGAATGATAAAGCCTTCAGACATGAGTCCGCGCCGATTGTCAGATATCAGTCCTGAGATCAGACAGCTGAAATCACTCGTCATTGATGAAGAACTAAATGAAGAATTGAAGTCATCGAGATCGGTCGAGTACATCAACAACGCATCCATTGAAGAGCGGATTCTGAGGATCACTGGTTACTATGGCTATGTGCCCTGGAACGCATCTCTCAGAGGTAGTAACCTACACTTGATGTATACTTGTGTTTATGGTAAAGGTAAACAATGAAATAAATATTATATACGTTAGATTCTCCATGAACTCAAAATAGACTATTCTTTTTTACAGAATATTCCAATATTTTGATTTGTTTTTGCACTTCATTATTATGTAATTCACTGACATAACTTCAAGTCCTGCCCAAAAATCAAGTCCTTCCCTACATTTTACTTGTTGGATAGGCTGTTTCACTCGGCATATACAATAGGGAGTTTTGTAGAACTCTGAGTGTACTATATAATTCATAAACTAAAAAATCATATTACACGTGATGTATTTCATTATATTGCATTATTTGATTTTTACATGCATTACAGTAGCTTAAAAGTAGTGTGTAGTAATACTTAAAAGTTTAAAGGTGGCTTATTAAAGGTTCAAGCGAGGACTGTTTCTTTTTGCTTTTCAGCTGTTTGTCCAGTCTAATAGTTTGATAGATGATTTTTTTTTCACGAGAGGTGAGCTGTAAACAAACACATCAATCAGAGTCCAACTTAACACCCCTGCATCTTTCTGAGCTCCTCTGCAACCCCACGCACAAGCAACAAAATCTATGACCCATTTGAAAAACAGCTGAATCATCTGTAGACAACTTTTTTCTATTACTTTCTAAATGTCAATATTATATATATATATATAGCTGGAGTTATGATGTAGATATACACTGTAGCTGGAGTTATGATGTGCAGAGCTCTGGCACTGATTCTAGATGGGAACCCAGAGTCAGAGCCCAGATTTGCTGAGTCATCAGGGCCAGTCGAGGTCTCTCTCAATTCTCATTTAAATTCCTCCACTGACATAGCAATTTTATTTAGATTTGGGGAAAAAAAAAACAAAAAAAACTTTGTGTGTTTTTGTCTTTTTTATATATATTTACTGTATGTCTATATAGTTTTTTATGAATTTTTAGTTATTTAAGTTAAACTAAATAAAATAAAAAATGTTGCCATGGCAAATTAACTGAAATTATGTCTTTAGTAGTTTTAGTTACAACCTATACACTGTCATGTCTTTGTTGTGCAGTTACTTAACTCAAGCCTCTCCTGCATGTACATATTGAAACTTTCCACAGTAGCTCCTTAATGTACCCTTAAGCAGTTGAGACATCTAAACCCCCCTGAGAGCATAAACTGAGACTATCTTTAAAAAACTATAGCCGGCAGTTCAGCATATTTTGATGTTCAGATTGTCGATATACTGAGTTTTTAAATTATTGGATTTAGAAGCTTAATCTTTAACCACTTTAATATCACTTCGTAATACCTGGGTCAATATGCGCACTTGCGCAGCACCAAGCTGGCACTCGTATCACATTATCAATCCCAGACTTTGGTCCGTGGGGTGGCTATGGTGTGGGTCACATTCGTTGTGTTGACTGACTGCTACTTGGGGACAGTCTGTCTGCCTCCTCATCCTCTTGCACTGACAGTTCTGTCCTTTAGACCTGGCTGGTTCTGGACAGTACATACTAAATGTCTTCTGACATGCAATGAGGACACAAGTATGGTACAAAGGAGAAATAATATGCCTTGTAAAATAATTCATGGTTTTCTGCATAGCAGGAAAAACAATGTTACATCTTCAGTGCAATGGACAGCAATATTTGACGATCTTGTGTATGGCTTCTTGCCATCTGTTCTTGTATCTTTTTTAATCTGTTTTAATCAGGTCTTTATAAAAAAAAGCTCAAGGACAGGTCAATAATAATTTATGTGTTAAATTACATTATGACACAAATATAGAGGACTGTTTCAATCCCAGAGTAAAAAGAAATTTACTTTATTTCTTACAATTACAATTTTTATCTCACAAATTTTATCAAATCTCACATCTCACAGTGACTTTACAACTGCAATTCTATATCTCACAATTATTAACCTTATACTGTACCATTTAAAAGTTTGTGCTAAGTATGATGTGTTTTTTAATATATATATATATATATATATATATATATATATCAGAATCTGCATATATATATATACACACTATATTCCACAAAGATGCATTCAATTGATCAAAATTGACAGCAAATGCATTACATTGCTTTTCTTTTGAACTTTTTATTGATCAAAGAATCCTTAAGCAGCTCAACTGTTTTCAACATTGATAATAAGAAATGTTTCTTGAGCAGCAGATCAACATAGAATGATTTCTAAAGGACTGAAGACTGGAGTAATGATGCTGAAAATTCAGCTTTGCCATCACAGAAATAAAATACATTTTAAAATGGATTAAAACAGGAAACAGTTGTTTTTAAATTGTAAAAATATTGCACAGTATTACTTATTACAGTAAACAGTATTAGAGGCTTCCATTCTTACCGACGTCAAACTTTGCTTGATTCCTGTTGTCAAATTCCAGGTTTATGTTGAATTATTACTTGATTCTAGTTGTCTTACTACAGTTCAGAAATTAAATTATTATATATCATTTATTTGCTGCGTTTAAGCTTTGTAAGCATCAGCTTTGTCATTCAAATTTCTCCTATAGTACTTCATGAAAGTTTACTGCTGAAAGATCAGAGTTGGCAGTACAGTTAAATGCCTGTGGCTATTCTTATGACTTTGTATTATGCAATTATGCTGTCTGTGTCTGCAGAGGAGGACCAGTCTGGCGGCGAGAAGGCGGAAGTGAAGATAGATGGCCATTCGGCTACAGAAACAGTCAAATCAGGTTGTGTGAACAGGCTGCAGAGGCTCCGCTGCTGTTTGTGTACGACTGCAGTCCTCCTGCGCAAAGCACTGTGGGGTGTCGCAATGGTCATCTGCATCTGCGCGTCTTGGACAGGCTGCACTCAGTTGGCCAAAGTAACCATCAGACGCTTGAATGTCCCGTTCACCCTCACTTGGTTCTCTACCTCTTGGAACTGTGCCATCTTCCCTCTTTACTACCTGGGTCACCTGTGCTGTAGCAAGGACAGACAGAGCCCCAAACAGCGCTTCAGGTGAGACGGGTTGTGTTTCATATGTGAGTAGATCTTTGTGATTCTGTGGCCTACGAAACTTCACTGAGTTTCAAAATGAGAACTCTTTGCAAAAGTGCTGCGCTGTGTAATATTTTGGATTTATGCAGACACTTCAATTTGGCTTGCAGAACCAGAGTGACTGTTGACTTTGCAGTTCTGTTGGGCTAGGCTGCTCAGATAGATTTGACCTTAACCTCATTTTCTTAACAATGTCCCATGGCATTTTTGTCCTTTTTTTATGAGTTCAGCACAGTAGATTTTTCTAAAGGTTTAAGTCTTTTGTACTAAGCAGCACTTTTGGAAGTAGGTGTAATTTAAAGGCACAATATGTAAGATTTTTTTCACTACAAGAGGGCGCAGTTTCCAACAATAACAAAGGCGTAGGTTGATGACGCAGCGATGAGCTGAATGATGGGACTTGCTGTCAAGCTGATGGATCTAAGAATGTTTATGGATGAGAGCAAACATTCATGTTTTTTAACATTACAGTGGTATGAAGCAGGTCGCGATTGCTAAAGAGACAGATATCACACGCAAGTCCAGCGGATATAAAGGAATAGGGACATTTAATTCTACCGAACCACCCGCATGTGCACAGGCCAGTTTTTTAGACAAATTAAACTTGTGAGGTAGCGCAGCGCTCCCTCACTTGGTCTAAAGTTACACTATACTATTACACTAAACGGCATTTAAATGTGTGTTGAAAGTTATAATGTTATTCTACGTGTTAGTTCGTTTGCTATACGAAACTAGCAGTAAGCTAGATCAACATTAGAATAACATACTGACCATATTGTAACCTTTCATCATGTTGAGCTAACATTATATAACATTGAGTTGTTTTATGTACATTTGCTCACCTGTCTAATAAAGCTGCCAAGTGACTCGTGAAGCTCTGTCAAGTCCAAGTTAGTCGTGCATGTGGAGCTCTCGGCATCTCAAAAACGGCACGCTGATATTGATCTTCATTTTAGTTGTCCTTGTTTGTCCCAAAGTCTGTTTGTCATAGTCGATGTTTCAAAGAAACAAGAACCGCGTGCCGCTAAACGTTACGAACTATGCAGTTGTCCACGTCTGTTGCCATGGTTACGTCACGACTATGGCAGTATGAACGGAAACCGAGGATAGCGCGGATATTGCGTCATTGACAGACGAGATTTTTTTCACATTCACATTACATGACTTGCTCTCAGTGAAATCATGAGTGTTCAAGTTGTTTAGCTGTTCACACCACACAACACAACGTGATTGATCCACAACAGGAGGTAACTCACTACACGAGTTAACAACGCACTACACAGAGATACAACCACGATCGGATGATAAGAGCATATCATTTGTGACTCAATGAGAGCTGTTTCAGTACTATAGTATGGTCTAAATCCTGAAAATAATCAAACAAATAACGAGTTGACAACAACACAATTCTATCTGGTCTAGAAACCATGTTTTGTAACGAAAAACCACGCAATAAAACGAACCAGAAATGACGCGAAACTGCAGAGAAGAACACAACACGCGAATATGGACGTCAGACAGAAACTAGTGCTGCACACTGTTTGCTCGACGATCTGCTCTGAGGAAAAAAAAAGCAAAAAAGAAAAAGTAAGATTTATCTGGTGTCCTCAACCCATGCGTTGCTATGATTGGCTGTACTCATGACATCACTGAGATTGAGTCGCGCGACTGCTCGAGATATCTAGCATGCTAGATATTTTTCTGAGCTCGGTGACCTGTCTGCGAGGTGTCTGCGAGCTGTCTTTGATGCGTTGTTGGCTCTTTCACACTAACGGATTGGCGAGCGTTAATCGTCCGCTAATCGCCCGCGATTTGCACGCGATAACACCCTGACTTGTCGGCGACTCAACGATTTGCAAATCGGGCTTAAATCGGGCTTAAAATCACGTAGTGTGAACTAGGCTTTAGTTAAAATTGGAATTTCTCTGAAATAATTGAAGTGATTTTTGGATATTTTATTACAAAATTCTTACATATTGTACCTTTAACACAAACAGGGTTTCCCTTGTTTGAATCTAAATTGGATATGTTTTTACCACTAGTCCTTCTTTAAGTCATCATGAAATCAGAATCTATTTATTAAAACTTTTTGAATGTGCACATCTTATTGTGTAGTTCAGTGCGAGAAAAATTTTTAGTCTTTGTAATCTTAAAAATGTAATTACTTTCTCCATCTCTGAAATTACTTTCCTTGCCTTTATTTTGATTAATATTACACATTATCCAAAGGCTTTTTTTTAATTTTCTTTGCTATTGTAAGTAAGTCGCCACCCCCCCCCCTCTTTTATGTTTTTGAAAGAAGTTATGCTTACCAGTGTTGAATTAATTTATGAAAAATACAGTAAAAACAGTAATATAGTATTACATTATTACAATTTAGCTGTGATAAAAGCTGTGATTAGAATTTTACAATCAAGAACAGTCAGGTGTGCCCAAACAGTTGGCAATCTATGCTACAAAAATGCTATATTGTAAATGGTAAAATGATACATGATGGTATGATAGATTATTTCCATGTGTGTGGATTCACAATAGAGAGTGTTGTCAGTTCTTGGGAGATGACGGGCTGTCACTGAGGATGCTGCTCTCTCGCGTGGCTCCTTTTGGAGTGCTGTGGACTCTCACCAGCTACCTGTACCTGCAAGGCCTTCGCAGAATCCCCGCCACTGATGCCTGTGCGCTCTTCTGCTGTAGCCGTGCCTTTGTCTTTCTAATATCCTGGATTGTCTTGCGGGATCGCTTCATGGGGGTGCGGGTGAGTCTATTATGTATCGATTGTTGTGTAAAATGCATTAATAGTGGGTATACTGTTACTGTGTGTAATTGAGTCTACTGTGGATTTTCCTTTTTATTATAATGTACTTTGTTAAAACAGTGTTCTGTCTGATTACAGATTGTAGCGGCCATTTTAGCCATTGGGGGTATTGTTATGATGACATATGCCGATGGTTTCCACAGCCATTCTGTGATTGGCATCTCCCTTGTGGTTGCGTCTGCATCGACAGCAGCTATATACAAAGTAAGAAAGGATTATAGACTTTAGCACAACAAACACATCTTAGACTGTCATACACCATTGAGCTTTATTTCAAATGAACATTTCATTATTTCACATGTTTCCTCAGGTTCTGTTCAAGCTTGTTCTGGGTAATGCAAAGCTGGGTGAAGCAGCGGTGTATCTTACAGTCCTCGGCGGAGCTAATTTGGTCTTCATTAGCGCCGTACCTCTGATCCTGCTTCTCACGGGGGCCGAGGACTTTGTTTCACCTAGAGATTTGCCATGGCCAAGCATCTGTGGCATGTCCGCTCTTCTGCTGGGTAAGATGATGGACACAAATACACAAACTTCTCTTATGCACTTGAATAGCCATCTTCCCTTAATCATTAGCAATGTTGATTTTTCTTTGGTTGCCTTCTCAGTGTTCAACTTCCTCTTGAATTTTGGTGTTCTGGTAACACTTCCTACTTTGATTTCTCTGGGAGTTGTCCTCAGTGTGCCTGTCAACGCTGGTGAGTCACTTGGTTTTTTTATTAAAATGAGTTATACTGTTATGTTCTTACAAATGCGTTTTATTATTTCTTCTGTAATAGACTAAAGAAGATGCTAAGACAGTATGTTAACTCTGCTCTTTTCTATATATTAAATGTTGACAAAAAAACACCATAATTATGAAAAATATAACAGCATGAAATTTAGTAAATATTTATTTATTTAACAATTTAAAAAGTAATTTTTGCCATTTGAATATGTTTATTAATAAAAAAAAAAAAAAAAAAAAAAAAAAATGTAGTCTCTTGTCAGACCTGTATGGGTTTTTTAGTGGAATGTCGCTGCTGTTTTCCATTTAAGGAATGATAATATAGCTGATTACTAAAAAAACAAACAATTTTTAAGTATAATTTTAAATAATAAAATCCTTTTGGGTTTCACATGGAAAGCAAGCTTGGCAAACAAATTAGTTTAGTTTACTCATTCAACCTCATAATATACACTAAGAGTTTGATGTCAGTACATTTCTTTTGTATTTTATGCTCAACAAGGCTGCATTTATTTGATCAAAAATACAGTGAAACAGAAACATTGTGAAAAATTCTTATTAATTTAAAATAAATGTCTCTATTTTAATTTATTTTGAAATTTCAGCATCATTACTCCAGTGTCTGGTGTCACATGATCCTTCAGAAATATGCTAATTTGCTTCTCAAGAAACATTTCTTATTATCACCAGTGTTGAAAACAGTTAATGCTTTTGAAACCATGATAAGAGTTTTTTCATGATTCTTTGATTTAATAGAAAATTCAAAATAACAGCATTTATCTGAAACTGAAATCTTTTGTAGCATTATAAATATTGTTACTGTCACTTTTGATCAATTGAATGCATCATTTCCCAAAAAGAAATCTTACTGACCCCAAAAGTTTCAAATTTACTAGATATTTCATATAGTTTTCCAAATATCCCTGATTACATTAGCATCTTTATTTTTAAGATCAAATTATTCAAACGTTTTGAAGTAACAACCGAGTGACGACCATAAATCATCTGCACTCCAGTCATAGATCGCTACATGTGTGAGATCCAGCTCAACAGTGTACGCGTCATTGCCGTGTCCATCATTTGTTTGGGCTTCCTTTTGCTCTTGCTGCCCGAGGATTGGGACCAGTGCCTGCCACACTTACGATCAATGCTGCACAAGCGAGAAGAGCCACAAGAGTGCGCCAGAGACAAACATTCAGAGATGCTTCACATCAGGCCAAGAGAGGCCAAGAACTGCAACGCCAAAACTACTCCCAGTGTCCACTGACTCAGCATTGTATTCATCCCATAAGCATCATATGGGCACCAGTCTTCCACGTTTGTGATAAAATTTAGATGTATTGCACATCAAATTGAATGGCAAATCACTGCTTAGAGAGATGAAATAGTTGGTACAGATCCTAAAAGGAGGGTTTAGAAGATATTGAACAATTCTATGCAAAGTTCGATTGGTTCACCTGTCGTTTTTAAGCACAGCTGTGAGTCTAGATTTGAACATTTCATTGTGGCTTTGTTTAATGTTTGTATATTGCCAGTATCTCCACTGCTGACACATCACATTCTTCAGCATAAAATAGTACTCCTGATATGAGCTGTATTCTCAAATTGGTTCTATATACTCTGCATATGTATTTGACAGTGTTATGGCCTCTCATATAATCTGTGAGATAGGCTATACCCACGGATTCTTCAGATTATTGACTTGCATTATATCGTCAGTGGCAATACTTGGTTCAAATATTCCTGTGGAATTAAGGCTTAATGTAAACCTTTGTAAGGATGATTTGTTACTTCTCATTAGCAATAATAAAGAATGAATGTACATCCTATGTATCTTGTAGCATATTTGTCTGAAGAAACAAATTATAAATGGGGGTCAGTAAGATTTAATTTTTTAATACTATTAATCACCAAGGATATTAATTTGATCAAAAGTAGTATGTAATTTATAATGTTACTACATATATATATATATATATATATATATATGTGTGTGTGTGTGTGTGTGTGTATGCATATACATATAGAAATGCTGTTATATTCAATTTATATATATATATATATATATAATTTATAATTATATGTGATTATAAATAATATATAATGTATATATATATATATATATAAGTTATAATTATATGTGATTATAAATAAAATAGATACATAATCTGTCATTTGTAAATTTAATAGAAATTTGCTACAGGTATTGTTTAAATATAAAAAAACAAAATCTCACATAATTTTTCATATCACTTCAGGGCAATACACAGGGAATTCATATACAGAAAGTGCCTTACAGAAGGCAGCAGACATGAACAAATGCTTTTAGCACAAAGGATTACTTTTCCTACATCACTGTATGTAAAAACTATGTATATAAAAAAACATTGCAATAAAAAAATGAGAAACAGCACAAAAAAAAAAAAAACAATTGCAATGACAGACCAAATATCTCTCCATTTTCCAATCCGTAATAACAAAAAAGCTAAGGTAAAAACAATGCTTAAACAATGATATCCAGTGATATTCATATGGCCGTTATGCAATAGAAGGTTTACAATGAGAGACCTTTGATCCCATAGACATCTCTTTATAACAAGTAAAAAAGTAAAAGATACTGGCATCAAGAAGATATGTGCTTTTCTATAAACTGGGAGAGCTTTCATACAGACTACAGGCACACAATATATTGAATGTCAGTGCACTTTTCCTTTTAAGGAAGCTCAGCAACCCTCTTTCATTCTGCTCCCCAAACACTAAAACCTGTACTTATGACTTGTTTTTTTTTTTTTTAAGAAAACGTTTATTTGGTCACAAAAACCACAAATGGGAATAGAGTTGCAGTGGAACTTGTAATCCTTCTCTCTCACAAAACCTGTTTATCCTTCACATGAGGTATAGTGTCCAAATTCTTTGAAATGTAAGAACATTTAGATATTCAAAACATGATTTTTTTTCTGTGCAGAAATAAACATTCAGTATTAAGAGACCACAGCAAAATATCCATCTAAATTATGCCTTTCTGGGCTGTTCTAGTGGACTTGCGGAAATACAGGTAGGCCAGAACAAGGAGTATAAGTATAAAAAGTGTGAAGAGGAGCATAAATGTGACATATCCCCCATAAGGCATCAGGGGAGTGTCTGGAGCTTCAGCTGGGATCATGTTGGTAAGGTTAAGCATGTAACCTAATGTCCAGCCTGCATCACTGTCTCTTATCTGCAAAAAAAAAAAAAAAAAAAAAAAAAAAAGCAGTTATGACACAATGTTTGGCCCCAAAACTTTTTATTGTAAAATAAAAAGGATTCATTATTAAAAGTATTAAATTGATTTTATTTGTACCTAAACCTACATTAAAATGTTTTGAAATTTTTTTTTTTTACATGTCTTAAGTGTCTAAATACTTTGAGGCCACCGTATTCTTTGATGAGAAATAATTTTTAATTTACACCAGACTTACCTTTTTAATGAAACTGATGTCTTTCCAGTTTTCAGAGGTGAAATTGTATCCGTCTTCCAGAAGCGTGAGTATGTATGTTCCTGAGAAGCAGTATTCTGAAAGGTACTTCTGTTTTATTTGGGGATAGTTTTCTACAATCTATAAAAGTCAAGCAAGTTAACATTTAGACATCCTGTCCCAACAAAATGCAATGGTTTTAAAACATCTTTCAAAGTCAGTAAATAAACCATTTAACCTTTTTCCATGGAGTAGAGCAGTATTTTGCCAGCTTCAGCTTTGTATTCTCTAATGAATCACTGGTCAGATTCAAAAAGTCCATCACAAAGAAAAAAGCAGAAAAAGCCTAGAAAAATCAAATAGCGTGATTATTAACTCTAATTTTTTGATATGCAACCAGCCATTCAAATGTATCCAAACAATTGTTTCTTACCCCAAATTTGCCATCAACAGAAGGCTGGAAAACCTCATTGAAAGAGCATTTTGAGTAAGCACAGTGGCTGGTATTGAAAACCTTTCTGATCGATTGTTGGCACTGAGACCAATTCCCCAACCCCACATGAGAGATATTTCCAGGTGAAATGTTCACTGCTGTCATACAAGGGGTATCGAAGACGCTTTGAACTGTCCTGGTGAAGTCATATCCAGGGTGGAAGCAAGGATCCCTTAACTCAATGGGGTTTGTCTTAGGGAAGAAAAAAAAATATTTAAGAATATAAGATAAAAAAAAAAACATATGCATAAAAAACAATAGTTAACTTCAACCAAAGCTAAATTAAAGAACCAAAATGCAGCTAAATGTTTCATTGTCCCTTTCAAATTGAATTTTTTTGCTGTAAAATATTTTAATGGTTTTGCAATGTAGGCAGTATGTAAAGTAAATGCATTAAAAGGGTGCACATTTTGCCTTAATGCAACACTCATACAATATGCAATAGGGATATTTTACATAAGTGTACACCTTTTCTTTACATATATATTTATTTAGATTGGCCTAGGAAAGGACAGACGCACCATTATGGCTTCGACACAATTTTTTTATTGCAATGACAAGCATACCTTGTCAGAAGCGTATGTTGACACTAATTTCTTGCCCATTGAAAGCTTGAGAGCTTGGTCCTTCCCATAACAGAGGAAGCTGTGCGTGTACAGGTGATAATCGTTTCCATACAGCCTAAAGTCAATTGAATTGTCATCCGATTCAATGTTCTGTTGAGGTATGAAGGTTATCTGAGTAGAGGCGCCACCCAGGTCCAGAGCTCCAAGAGTCCCCGTGGGCTGCGTGAGAAACAAACGAGCTGACATCATTCTCCTGTTCACACTGAAATTGTTTGTTTCATTCTTCATTCTTATAGTAGAAAAGTAATTCACACGGTATTCTGCACTTTAATTCTGTGTGGAGCAGAGCTGTGGGTCAAAAATGACAAATTTGACGGAAGAAAACAGCATACCTTATTTAGGTTTTCGCTCAAGTAATTGACTGTGATCCATCCAAAAGCTCCCTCCTCTTGGCCAG